TTCGGAGCATGAATAACCTGTTTAAGGTCACCCCACAGTATCAGTGTTGCATTTAAGTTCAAACCTTGACCTCTACCCTGCAAAGCTCAACTCGATTCTCCAAATCGTTCTGAGATCTGTTGGATCACTGTGATGCAGTATAGGCCTTTCCAAATGATGGGCGCTGTTCTTCAAGATGTTCTGCTAGAGAGCTAAACTACCAGCTTTTTTTTTTTTTTTTACAGTTTATCCAAACTGTAAAAAAAAAAAAAAAAAGGCTGTAAACAAACTTTTTTTGGGATATTTTCACAAAGTGTTTTAAAACTAAAACTAAATATGAGACACATACTGCTGTTGACTTCGGACAGCCGTGGTTTTGACTGTTAAACTTTTGCACAGATGCCTTTTTGGCAAATCTTTCATGTTATTTGTGAACTATAGGGCACCTGAAGCCTGTAGAATTGTACAGTAGATGTTCTCTGTGCTTTTATGACCTCCTGGATGAGCTTTCAATGCTCCGGTTCTCCTGGGAAGTTCAACATTTTCTCCATCTCGGGATAACAGCTCTCAATTTGCTGAAATCCCAAAGCCTTAAAAGTGTATTTATAGATCTCTTTCTAGAGAGTAAGATGACTAGTTTGTCTTTTTTAATTGTCTTTTGGTCCCATTACCCTGCTTTATATTGTCCAACAGTCTCTGTTTCTTAATCATACAGACTAATGTTCATAGCTTTGCTGAAAATTAAATTAGGTTATCGTTGCATAGTAATAATGTTTTCTCGATCTGTTAGATGTAGGTGAAAATGTGAGTAAATTAGATTAATAACAGGGTAATGCAGCATTGTATCAGGAGGTTTCCCATGCCTGCAAACATCTCCTGCAGAACTGAGCTTTAGCAGATCGAATGTTATTAAGAACAATGACAGAAGGCAAGCAAAGATTTCCACCCTCAGAGTCAATTTAGATTAAAGCCAAGCCTTTATTTCAGCTCTGTGAGCTGAGGGAGGGAAAGGTGAAATATTTGAAATAGTTTCATAAACAAATAATCCCACACTTTGGAATATGAGGAAGGAGGAATTATCTTAAATTAAAAAAGCGTTCTCCAGATGGGTTGGCAAATTAAATGAGTAAACAAGATGATGTTTTGTTTTTACTTGTCACTTTCCATCCACACTGGTTTCAGGTCATACAGATGTGTGTCATGGATCATAGTTGCAGAGAAACATTTGCTCCTTTCAGTGCAGATGTGCAGTCATTACCAGGGATTACGTAAGCCCGTCACTAATTTGGTCACTATTTTACTCAAAGAATTATAATTTCCGGGGTCCGTGTTTTGCTGTTCCTGATGTCTGATTTATGAAGGAAATGTGATTTTACATTTGTGAATGATTTGATAAATCTTTTGGATACGCATTTGTTTTGCTTAACCCTTTATAGGGCACTAACTGAACTTAAGTTACTGATACTGGAAATCAAAAATTTCAACCGAAAAGTGTTAACGGAGGACAGAACAAGACCTTATTATTTCTATAATATTTGAAAAATACATATATTTTATGTAAAAAATCAAGGTGAGTGTAATTACAATACCAGAAACGGTCACTTGCCCTTATAGGGTAAAAAAAAAGTGCTTCTTTAAAGAATTCATGAAAATGATAACTGTCAACATTAAGTGGGTCCCTTGCTTGTATGTTTTTTTCTTTTTTTTAAATTACCGCTACAAGCTGCACCTGAGGTTCAATTCAGCTTTTTCACAATTTCCATACACATCACAAGCCTAAATACATCAAATTTGATGGGTTATAAAATTTCCCGCAATCCTTCCAGTCACTTAGAAAACATACAAATCATCTGGGATTCTGTTTACGAAAAACCCTGGGTGTTCAAATCTCAGGACTTTCGATTTTAAATATTTTGTATTTAGCTCTGGATCAGCTCTGACCAGCCTTCCAAATATTGCTAAAGAAAGGCATCCCCACAGCATGATACTGCCGCCTCCGTGTTTCAGCCAGGAAAGGGTGTTTCAGAGTGATTATCCTTTTTACATTCTATGAATTTTGCATTTTGGCCAAAAAGAAAATATCCCTCATAAATAATAAATTGAAAAAAGCTCTATTAAGGCTATAAATATAATAACTATAAAGCCATTAGGCAGGAAAGGATTAGATGGGCAGATATTCTTTTGCAACTTACTTGAGGAAAAGGAATCAAATTTCCTGGTTATCATCCCATCCTCTATAACAGGCTCTCCCAGCTTCGTTTTTTTTTTTTTTTACCTTTTTCTATCTGAGCAATCCTTTTAAAAAGGAAAGAAAAACCCAAGACTTCTGTGACTGGAACATAATCTCTTGTGAAATCTTCCAGAGCCTGTTACATCCAAAAGCACCAGAAATAACTCCTGAACTGCAAAAATGACTCATTCCCATGAGAAGTGGTTACTGGAAGCCGCACTTATGGCTTAATATCACTTGAAGATGAAGTAAACAGTTTAAAGGGAAATCTGTTATACCTCTGTAATTGCCTATTCACTGCAGTCCTGTGACTGTCCCTGTCAGGAAACACTTTGCTGGCTCCTGTTTATGACCTGTTTCTGCTCCAAAGATCAGCTCCTTCCTGAGCTCCAGCCATCAGCTACTTTAAATTACTTTTAATGTCTGTCCACCAACCAGCGTCGTAAAAAGAATTTGATCTGAGGCATGAATTTCCGGCTTTCCATTCAGATTTTAACGACTTCACTAAAAATAAAGATGTCTCCTTCATTTTTTTGTTTATAGTGAATATGTTTTGAAAGATTGAATATAAAACATATGCAGTAATAGCTAACTTCAGGGTAATAAATGTGGAAAATATTTCGTTTTTTATAAAAACAGCCCCTAATGTGTTTTACAGGTTAAAAAAGTTTAATTTCCATCCAGACATAATTTAACAATAATACACTAATCACTGGTGAAGATTCTCAGTCATCCAGGTCATTCCAAAAAAGTAAAAAGAAAACAATTCACTGGTCCTTGTTTCCAAGTTTGAAGACATTTCGCTTCCCATCCAAGTCTTCAAACTTGGAAACAAATAATCTCCTCTATTCTGAAATTATGCTGAAATATTTAAAGCTTATTAAGAGTCTATTTGACTCTCTGATTGTTTTGATGATTTAATTCAGAGATTATAAAAGAAATGAAAGAATAATCAAAGTTTCAATGTTTTTGAGCTCCATCAACATTTAGATCAGAAACTCCTCTGAACAAAATGGGAAAGAACCTTTTTGATCCAACAGTGCGGGTTTGTTTTTTTTCTTCTTGTCAGGACCAGGTGCTTGCATGAATGTTCTGCTCGTCTGACTCTTAAGCCCCTTTTCCACTGGTACCCACAACCTGACTCAGTTCTTAGGTTTTTCCATTAGGTGCTGGTACTTGTTACCACATCTTTCAGTTGAAACACTCAGAGGATCAGGGTCAGTCATTAGCTTGAGTCATTTATATGTTTGGTTGCTGATAAGAAAATATAGAAGAAAGCTAGATGTCGGAACGCTGCTAAAGAAAATGGCCTTCATTGTTGGGTTTTGTTTGGGTCATTTAGAAATTATCTTAAGTAGCTTTCCTTGACTCATAGACATACCTTGACACAGAAGGCAGTCCTGCTTTGATGGCACAGCCGCAACCGTCTGGTTTCTGCTGGTTTAACCTTCCGTTTTAAAATCTGGTTCTTGGTGCAAAGAGGCAATGATGATTAACCCATTTTATTAATCAATCAAATTTGCTTTCTATAAAGATTGAATTATTCGAAAATCATATTTTCTTCACCTGTGCAAACTTGAGCTTCGGTAATAACACCGGCTGCAAACATTTTTTGTTATATTTTAATTGTTTATAAAGGCAGGACCTGCCAACAGGCCTCACGGCTTGTACATAGTTGCACTTTGAACACAGTCCAGAAGGGATGGTTGAAATAAAAGGTTATAAATTAAATTTCTACTTTTTCTCCTTTTTTATGAAAAGAAATTAAGAAAATAAATCAATGATTTTATATAAAGAAATCGGACACAAAGCACCACAAGACGGCATTTTCAGAAAGTTTGTGAAGACAAAAAACAAACAAAGGACTCTGAATCTTTAAGGTCAATTTTCTTTAAACTAAAGCTTTTTTTGAATCTCAAATCTTAGTATCCTTCTCCCATAGGCTGTGTGACCTCACCAATCCTATAGATTCTCAATAGCAACGATGTATCCTCTATGTGAGTTTATTAAACCACATTCATTTTAAATAAGATTAAATACAAAAATTCTTCTTTTAAGAATTTTATCATGAAGAAATTTCAGGAAATCGGATCCCTAATTGTTTTATCTCATAAAAAAAATTAAATGCAGCTACAGCTCCTAGTTTATGAAAAGATGTTTCAGTTTCGTCTACATGATACGCTTCATGCAATCAGTTGAATGGGGAAGATGTCTGAAAATAAAAGATCAAAGTGAAGATTGGTGACAATAATGACATATTTACCCACTGGTAAAAACTTACTGGAACCAATCAACAACAGTGCATTTAAACGTTTTGGCCTCTTTTTAACTGCTCCTAGACTACATTTTTGTTTTTAACAGAATTGTTGGTTTTTAAGACTCTTTATTGATGGATCACAGTGTATTACTCACTTTATCTCCAAATCTTATCAACCTTGACTTGAGATATTCAACCTAGAATCTTCCTCAGATTATAGGACCACACTCAGAACCGAACAGGATAATCCTGTCATTGTGAGACATCCCAGACTTTCTGCTCTATGGAGCATGAAGCTCAGGGTCCTTCCTTTTGTTTGACTCTATTTACAGGAAGTGACATGTTTTTGTTTTAAAAATATTACATTCTTTGGTCATTTTTGATTGGACCTGAAAAACTGCATCCACCTTTGATTGCAACCAAAAAAAAGGTTCAAGCTCAATGCAGGTTTATTGCATGTTTGTTTTAAGCAGACCAGTGAGTGAGTGCTATAGGCTACAAGAGGACTACCGGATAAAAAGCAAAGAGGCTCACCTCTCCTGTGCACACCAGGTGCTCCAGGGTAACCAGGCCTTTGCTCTTGCTCTCGGTGTCGCTCAGCAGATCATCCTCAGACTCCACCGCGGAGGATCCTGTGGAGGAGATGGAGGAGTTGGACAGCTTTCTGCGCAGGGCTCCGTCCCCAGTACAGTCCAAGTCTTCCTGCTGGATCTCCCTGGAAGAGCCGCCTCCCTCCGGGGTGATGGTGACCTGCGGCACCATGGGCGCATCCATGCGCGCCGGTGCCGCGGGCGGCGCGGTGGCTTTCTGGATGAGCTCTGCGCAGATCTTGGTGGACCTCCCGGCAGTCCTTCTCTCTACACGGCCTCCATCGGTTAGTCCGGTCACAGAAATCCCGAAGTCCTTTGAGGACTTTCTCCTGCACTCTTTGGGCATTTGAGATCCTGCCGTAGAGGCGCACGACGACAAGCGGAACTGCGCTTCAGCTCAGCATTCAAATCTGGTCATTTCACTGTGGGAAAAGTCTCGCACAGTCAGCGGGGACCCTGGAAATACTGCTGATCCTCCCTGGGTCCCGTCTCGTCTCCTCTGAGCTCAGGAACGCCTCTGGCAGCCTGTGCGCTCTCTGCACACTGTCGGTAAGGGGAACCCCTCTTAAGTGGCGTGACTCGCCCTTCTGCGCGGTTTTACACTCACACACAAAAACACACACACACTGCTACATCCCGCTGTCGTTTATTATCTTCCGCATTGCCGCTCTCGCTTCCTGACTGAACAGTTTAGAAGCTGCTGACACAATTCCAGATCTCTGCTGCCTCTGTTCAGCAGAAACCAGTCCTTATAATAAATGGAAATCAAACTTTGCTGCAGCTGCTTAAATGCTTCATTTACAGAGGATCTCTTTAACAAACCTGTCAAATTCCCTGAGTTTTGTTGTTGTTTTTAGCATCTATAATTAGAATCAAACTGAAAAAAAAAAACATCTAGAGAAAAAAAAACGAATTATACCCTGGATGCATAAGTGCGCAAAACCTCGAGTTAATACATTGTTTTATACACGATTGGATCTAGTTTAAATATTTTCCTAGTACAGTATAGGGAAGCTTATAGTACAACATTATCTGCCCTGGTAGGATATGCATTAAGTTTGCTTCCATCCATTAACCTACTTCTCTTAAAGTCATGCTTTGCAGAGATGATGCAAATTATAAATGTTCTCAAAGGTATCAGAATGGTTTGAAAACAGATATTGAAGGAACTGGATGTTTTTCTGTGATGAAAAGAAAGAGAGGAACTGGCCAAAAAAAAAAAAAGAAAAGAAAAGAAAAGAAATACCAAAAGACTATCAGCAACCACTAAGAAGTGGCAAGATGTTCTGGTTTAGTGTCAATAACATCCTGTACTGTTTAAAATCAAGTTAATCCAGTTAATCCAAGGTTAAGGAGTGAGATTCAACCCTAATGTACCTATTTTCCCTTAAAAATGTTTAAAAAGTCTGAAGAAACCATACCTTGATAATGTTTTGGAAATAAACGTCTTGCACAACAGACACCACTGAGGACCAATAAAGCAACACAATAATAACCACAATAGAACATGTGAAGTTTGGTAACACACCATGTTCCAGAGTTGCTTGTCCTCACCTTAATTTAAGATTAAAACTGAGTAAAGGCAAGTAGCAAAATTAATAAATAACAGAACGTCTGTGAGGTCAACTAGAAGAAAATAATGTGAGAGCTGAAAATATTTCACAGTCAGGGATAAAATAAAAAAATAAAATAAAAACACCAGGTCAGGATTAGGCAGACTCATATATATATAAATATATATATATATATATATATATATATATATATATATATATATATATATATATATATATATATATATATATATATATATATATATATATATATATATATATATATATATATATATATATATATATATATATTTCAATTCATTCAAAAATCAAATCAACTATTCCACATTTAGTATCACATCAAGTATTTTAGCCTTATCCACACTATTACAAGACAAAATGCCTCAGAGATCATACTTGTTCTTTAAGGAGCAGCAGAACAGGAGATATTTAAAAATATTCAAATTACCATTTTTAAATGACCATACCAACTGTTGAATTCAAACTATAAAGTGACAAAATGTATACATTTATAACAAAATATAAATTCAATGCTGTTTGAGGTGATAAAGCATTTATGTGGAGACCTTCTTTTTCTGATAAACTCCTTTTTTATTCCAGTAGCTTTACATTCCTAACAATATGAATATAATCAAAACATACTTATAAAATATATCCATGCTTGTGTTGCATCTAAGTAATTTATTACTTGCACTTTTTAATTGAAGCACTGAACACAATATTTTTTTAATTAAATTGTATTTTCATGAAATTAAATAGAATAAGGTCATACCCCAACCCCCCCCCCCCCCCCCCGAAACTAGACATATTGTTTTAAAACCTTTATTCTGTTAATTAATTTAATTTTCCAAAAAACTAAAACTAAAATATAAGGCTATAAACAAATAAAAAAAAAATAAGCCAAATGAAAATAAGCTTACTAACTGCATTAAGATCTTTATTTATAAAAGGTATTTTGTAATCTGACAAAAGAGCCTTGTGTGGGCTGGGGTAGCAGTAACCGCGTCACATCTTTCAACCAACCCTTTAAGGTTTTAAATCTGTGTTGGGCTGTAGGGCTACAAGTGGCCCAGGTTGGCACTCGTGCAAACAACAAGATACCACTGAATATTACTTTGTTCACTGACAAGCATAAAGGACAATTGTGAAAGACTTTGAACTGAAAGGTATGAATACAAGGAAGAATATGATTCATTGAAATATGCAAAAAAATATATACTGAAAAAGTCACCAAATTCATTTGGAAATGCAAGACTGTGAATTGTTTTATTTTTTATTTATTTTGTTTAACCTTTATTTAACCAGGGGAAAAAAAATCCCATTGAGATTAAAAACCTCTTTTTCAAGGAAGTCCTGGGCCAAGAGGCAGCAAAGTTACATAATAAACAGAGATACATTAAATTAAATGGCAGGTACATAAAAGGTACATATCAAGTGAAACCAAAATATTAAGGAATTAGATACGAATACAGTATTTTTGGACAGGAGCGTTTAATTTAACATGTATACCAAACTCTTCCTATAAGTTAGAAACTGGATAATTTTCCAATAATACATATTACATGGAAAATATTACAGAATCTCAGATTTCCAGAACCTGGTATTGATAAGAAAGAAATATAAATATGCCCTGCAATGGACTGGCGACCTGTCCAGGGTGTACCCTGCCTCTCGCCCGTAGACAGTTGGACATAGGCACCAGCACCCCTCACAACCCCCCATAAAGCGTGTGAGATAATCGATGGAATGGATGGAAATATAAATAATCTGTTTTAATGTCCTGGAGATGTGTTGATTTACCAATAGATAGTGCTAACGCATGACATACGACAGGAGAAGAGAAACTCGAATGATGGAAATGTGCAGAAGAAGAATGTTGTCCCCATATTTTTTGTTGCATATCCCTGCATATTAATGCAAAGGGCTTTTCTATGGAAGAGGATTAGCTCCACTGGAAAAAAAAGAAAACGTTTTTAAAGATTTTTTTAATATTATTTCAGTTTAATATGGGAAAAATTTCAGAATTCTGACTTTAATCTTAGAATTCTGACTTTATTCTCAGAATTTTGGATCTTAATGTAGATGGGCACCATGAAGGAAGAAATGTGTGAGCACTCAAACTTCCCTGAAAAATATAGGAGTTGTTTGAGAAGTGACACATTGGTGGAAAATTATGGAATTAGGTGACTTTTTACGTACCCGAGGGGTCCCCGTTGATGCTATTTCATTAATGAAAGAGCAGAAGGTTATTATACAGTAACAACAGAACTGGTTTAGTCTCTAAAACAGACATGGCTACAGCTTGATGCTAACATGTCTGTAATCTGTCAGAATTGTACGACGGAGTATTAGGGCCACACATGAAGAGAAAAAATATTTTTGCCATGACGAGATTAAACTCGACATGTCGACTTTAAAGTCGACATGTCGACATTAAACTCAACATTTCGAGAATAAAGTTGAAATGTCATGTTGAGTTTAATCTCGACGTGTCGACAATAAAGTTGAAATTAGTTCAAGAGAGCCAACCGCTGCACAGGTTACATGCACAGAATCCAGAATCAGACATGCCTTGTGTAGATGATTTGGTCAAATTGTACTTTCTGTGATGATTATACAGTTATACAGTTGCAGCACGTCAAAGACTACCTTCACTCTTAAAACGAAGACTGCAGCTGTGGAGCGCGGTTGCTCTTTTCTCCAAACTTTGGAATGTCGAGATTAAAGTCGCCATGATATATCAACTTTATTCTCGAAATGGCGAGTTTAAAGTCGACAGGGCGAGTTTTAAAGTCGACACGTCGAGATTAAACTCAACAAGACATTTCAACTTTATTCTTGAAATGGCGAGTTTAAAGTCGACATGTCGACTTTAAAGTCGACATGTCGAGTTTAATCTCGTCATGGCAAAAATATTTTTTCTCTTCATGTGTGGCCCTAATACTCCGTCGTAGAATTGTGAGAAAAAGTCAGAATTGAGAGTAAAAAGTCAGAATTCTAAGATTAAAGTCAGAATTCTGAGAAAAAAAGTCAGAATTCTGAGATTAAAGTCAGAATTCTGAGAAAAAAGTCAGAATTGAGAGGAAAAGGTCAGAATTACTACGACGGAGTATTAGGGCCACACATGAAGAGAAAAAATATTTTTGCCATGACGAGATTAAACTCGACATGTCAACTTTAAAGTCGACATGTCGACATTAAACTCAACATTTCGAGAATAAAGTTGAAATGTCATGTTGAGTTTAATCTCTACGTGTCGACTTTAAACTCGCCATTTCGAGAATAAAGTTGATATATCGTGGCGACTTCAATCTCGACATTCCAAAGTTTGGAGAAAAGAGCAACCGCGCTCCACAGCTGCAGTCTGCGTTTTAAGAGTGAAGGTAGTCTTTGACGTGCTGCAACTGTATAATCATCACAGGAAGTGGTGGCCTACCAATAATAACGTAACGTCTTTCCCTATGCTTACCCAGGCTCGCGGTTCTGAATTTGAGAACATGTCAGTCATTTCAACTTTATTCTCGAAATGGCGAGTTTAAAGTCGACAGGGCGAGTTTAAAGTCGACATGTCGAGTTTAATCTCGTCATGGCAAAAATATTTTTTCTCTTCATGTGTGGCCCTAATACTCCGTCGTAGAATTCTGAGATTACTGTCAAAATTGTGAGAAAAAAGTCGTAATTCTGAGGAAAAAAGTCAGAATTCTGAGATTAAAGTCAGAATTCGTACTTTTTTCTCATGTACTGAAATAAAATTTACAAATCAGTTAACTTTTAAATTTTTTCAGTGGCCCTAGTCCTCTTCCTTACTTTTCTGTTCGGTAAGAGAGAAATAAAATAGACAATTGTCCTTCAACTATCAATTTGTCTCTGAAGACAACATACCTATGCATTGAAGTCCCTTCCTGCCATTTTAAATAAAAAAAAACGTACAAAAATATATTTAAAAATGCTTAGAACATTATATATCCATATGTGTGTGCTTGTGTACGGAGCCCCCTTAACAATGTTTTATTAATAAAGTTTTGTTTCACCTGGAATATGCCACACACAATATGGCAGACGCGTTGACGTACTATCTTTAAAGGGATAAATAGTATCAGAGTGAGACCTCTTAATTTGAGCGGATTTAGTATGAGAGTGAGACCTCCTGTCTCTTGCTCTTTAATAGAAAGACAGTGCTAGCATCACATCTGAAGCTCGGCTCCATGTTTTTACCGACCACCAGCGTCATGTTTGCGGTCAGAAACGCTCTCCGCCTGGGCTCCAGGTTATCTGTCCCCACCGTAGCGAGGAGGGGATGTTCCGGAGCCGCTATCCAAGTGGATGACGTGGTGAACGGACTCACAGAGGACCAGATACAGGTCAGCTAGCTGTTAGCATCACAGGTTAACTTGGGGGGAAGCAGATAGGCAACATACGAGAAATATAACTGATAAAGTCTGCACACATATGGAAACAGAACTTTATTGTGCACCACAATAAAGTGTCCCTTTTTACATTCTGAATAAGTAAATTTAAGGACAAAGCTGACAGGACGTGATGACATAACAGCTAAGAGGTGGAAAAGTGTAGCCGACCTTCCAGTTGCAGAGGCAGAACCCAGAAACTGTTAATTTGATATAAATCTCAAGTTATTACTGCATGATATATCCGATGCTCTGTAATGAACCAATGTTATTGTTTGACAGACTTTTATTTTAGTTAAAATCTGAATTATTGCAGTCGTGTTTATTCATAGTTGAACAGATTAATAAATGTATATTTTTCATGTAAAGATTTATGCAGTAGTTATAAAACAGTTTCGCATCAGTTGCTTTTATAGAAAAATAAACGGTGGGGGGCGCGAGGCTCATATCAAGTATTTGATTGGACAACTGGCTCTACCTCATGATGCTGTCCCTATTATAAACTCAAACACCAGCCCAGCATCCACTATGACCTATTGCTTAATAAGGTTTTACACTAAACCCCTGATTATGTGCAGCGGTAAACTGTATTATGATGTTAGTAGCAGAACCTTTATGCTATTTGTGTTTTCCAGAACATCTTCTATGTCAACATCTTAGTTCTGTACCCCAGCTTTTCAATCTATTCCAGAACCAAACTATTAATTCTTATTCTATTATCTCTTCCTGTTAGATCCTTTTAGTGCAGGGCAAACCAATAAAAAATCAGCGGGGTCCGAATAAAGAAAATAAACAACCAGTAAAGGTCCGGAGACATTTTGAATTCCAATCTGTTACTTTAAACTGAACTTAACACTGAAATAAAATGGAGTGTCTATGCATCCATGTTATAAATTTTATTTTTAAATAAAATATAAAAAAAAATACTTTTAAAGTGTTTTTTTTTTAAGTAGAGAACAACAATCTTTCAGTTTGGTATATAGAAAATTTCCTGATATTTTATAAAACACCTGAACTGACTGGTTGTTATTTTATTTTATTTTTTATGGCTTAATGAGAGCAGTGGGCTTCAGGCTGCCCTGCAAGGTTTTAAACCTGGTTCTGAATGGCGAAAAAGCCATTCTAAAGCACATATCAAGGTGCTCCTTTTGAGCCTGGATCAATATTTATTTCTGATTATGGTCATGGGGGAGAATCCTGCTTCACAGCAGCAGGTTTAGCCAAACATACTCAAAATGTGCAGGGTGATCTTTGAGCACACCATTTCACTTTTCTTTCACTAGTTCACCACAGTTCTTCCAGCAGTCCACACTTTCTCTGCTCTCTTTTTCTCATCGTCTTCTCCTTCTTTCCCATCGCCCAGCATGCCACAGGTTTGCCTGCTGTGTCTAAAAGTAGCAGCAGCAGCAACCCAGACTGACAGCAGCTTATTGGCTCATTTGTATCACGTGTAGCCTGATCCCAGAGGCTCTGGAGGGCTTTACCATATTAATAAATTAATATTTCTGCTTGGCAGAAGGTACATTTCCCAACAGGACATTACCCAAACATCAAACTTCCTCTGCAGGCTTAACTTGTCCCCATAGGCATCCCGCTACCACCTGTTTCTCTGAGAGGTAGTGCATCCACCTAGCTGATGTGAACCCCAGCTGATGCATTGGAGATGCACCAGCAGGGGCACACTGACTAGTTTGCAAATCTGTAGCTTAAAACAGGGTTTCTTAACCCTGGTTCTCAGGGGCCAATCACCTTCATGTTTTTAAATGTGTTTAATCTAAATCAAGCATACCTGATTGGATTACCTCCTCGGCAGCCATCAAATGCTGTAAAAGCCTGTTGAACTTGTTTTCATTCAGTAGAGGCGTGTGGAGGCTGGGGATGACTTAAAACATGTAGGACCCTGAGGAACAGGGTTAAAGGAATAGTACACCCAAAACATGATTAGCCTTCATTTTCTACTCACCCCCATGCTGAACACTCTGGAGTACTTTTTTGATATCTCAAATGCATCTGGAGATCTGGGAGGCTTCTTGCTGTCTGCTGACATTCAAATAATGGAGGTCTATGGTGCCCGAGACAGAAAGGTCCATAAAAGTCCACAAAAAACGTGTCAATATTCCTCCATACTGCTCGTCCAATGTATTCCAAGTGTCCTGAGTGGGTAGCATCCATAATTTACTCGAAACGAAGTCATTTAGAATGTTTTTAGAGCATAAACAGTAGTGTATAGGATTTCCTGAAAGCGCGCACCTGCGCGATCACGACACTACGGAAGCCGGCAGACCAAACCAGATGAAAGTGCGCATTCAGCGTCTGCTCTGCCGATAATGCAAGCGTAGAAGAAGAAATGTGCTGTTTACCTGTGCAAAGAAAGAAACAACGAAAGAAAAATGTCTGAGGACTTCAGTGTTGAGGAAGAGCATGAGTTCTTTGCCGAGCTGAATGCGCTGGCTTGGTCTCCCGGCTTCCGTAGCGTCGTGATCGCGCATGTGCGCGCTTTCAGGAAATCCTATACACTACTGTTTAGGCTCTAAAAACATTCTAAATGACTTCGTTTCGAGTAAATTCTGGATGCTACCCACTCAGGACACTTGGAATACATTGGGCGAGCAGTATGGAGGAATATTGAAACGTTTTTTGTGGACTTTTATGGACCTTTCTGCCTCGGGCGCTGGGCACCTCCATTATTTGAATGTCAGCAGACAGCAAGAAGCCTCCCAGATCTCCAGATGCATTTGAGATATCAAAAAAGTACTCCAGAGTGTTGTTCAGCATGGGGGTGAGTAGAAAATGAAGGCTAATCATGTTTTGGGTGTACTATTCCTTTAAGAAACCCTGGCCTAGAAGTCAATGCATGGTGTATTCTGGCACCTTTTTATCATCAGTTTTTTTCAACTTGAGGGACAGTACATCACCTGTTGCATTGATCAATATATCCACCTTATGATGCCACCCATGAGCCTCTTTCTAATTTAGCTCTGCTCCTTATTTGGGTCATTTTTTAATAGATATTACCAGCCTACCCCCTACCCTTTTTAATCCTTAGCTTTACCCTTTTCTAAGCTCTTAGAATGTTACTTTGATGCCTGATGTATCCCCCGCCCAGTTTCTTTATCAACCTTTAACTCTTGCAGTTCACTGGTTCTTTACTATCAGGGTGCTTTATCTCCATGCTCTCAGGAGATAAACTTGTCGGTTTAGATATCCTTGAACTCATGTCATTTGCATTGAGGTCATCTTAGGATCTGTGACTCTGTGGACACTGGTCATTGCAGAACAATGCAATTCTTATTCAGATGCTTTTAAGCTCATTTAGTATTTCATAAGGTTTGATGCTGCATCATAACAGAACAGCCCGAGATTTGTGAAACCCTTTTAATCAGTCTTGTTATCCCTGATCAAAAAGCTAAAATGTGGCTGATTTTTTATTATAAAGCTTTTGCCTGTTGATTTTAATCAATTAACATTTTTCTTTTTTAACCAAGTTATTGTCAATTCTTCTGATAAATGATCTAACATAGATACACTGTTGAGATGCCAATGTGCTCTAAAAGCCAACTATTTTATTTAGAAGTGGATCTTGAATACTTGGTAATTTTGTCACAGATTATTTATGGCTGATTGTGTTTCTTTAGGCTGTCCAGCTCTCATCCGGTTATGTTTCCTTCGCAGCTAAGGCAGACAGTTCGTAAGTTCTGTGAAGAGAAGCTTGCACCTTATGCCAATGAGATCGACAAGAACAATGAGTTCCCAGGAATGCGGGTGAGTCGTTTGTTACACACTGAAAACGATGATGTATAATCGGGTCAATAGTATTTAATGAAATTTGGTTCTTGCTAAAGCCCTGCTATGTTCACAGAGGATACACCCGGTGTAAATTTACCCTCAAGCACGAGCGGAATTTCTGTTCTTGTTGATAAAAGATGTTTTTTTTTTTTTTTTTACTAGGATTACTGGAAAGCGATGGGTGAGATGGGACTGCTTGGGATCACTGCTCCAGGTATAACTGGGACATAAAGAAAATGTTTTTTGCAATCAGGTTTTCTTACTTGAAACGTAATATTTATTAATAATAATATAATAAAAATGTAAATTTATTGATCTCACACTGGAGAAATGTACCTCTGCATTAAACCCATCCCCATGGGGAGCAGTGGGCTGCCACTGCGCAGCGCCCGGGTAGCAGTGTGGGGTCAAAGGTCCTCCTCAGGGACCCAGAGTGCCGGCTGTGGGGATCGAACCGGGTACTTGCAACCCTCTTAGAGCTCAAGCACACTGCTCTAAAAAAAAAAAAAGTTATCTAAGCATTAGGTCAACACTCCCCCTAAAATGGCCACTGCAGTTGAGAACCTGTGACTTATGTAGCAATTTTACCTTTTCTTAACCTGCTGAGCTACCATCTTAGAGGGTTTATAGTCATTCTCTGTTTTTGCTCTGTCAAAATGTTTCAGTTCAATGAAAAAAAATAATATGCTGGTCTATCATTTTTTTTCTAATCTCCTGAGACTCTTTCCTTCACTTCCTCTGGTCCATGTTGAGTGTGGTACACACCATGTCACCAAACAGCACATTGACTACCTGTAGCCCTATCTATAGGTCCATTCACTGATTACTACATAGTAGACCCCCTTGAAGCTAATTAATTGATTTAACCCTTTGGTAACATTATTTTAGGTCTTTTCTAGGGTTATCATCATTTTTGTTCAGGCCTTTTTCATGACTTTATTTTCTTCTGTTGAAGCATGGTTGAAAAGCAATGTCTGACTTTTCTTTGCTCCTTTCTATAGAATTCCTATTTATTATTACTTTTGTCAAATTCAATTGATTTCTATCAATATTTTGGGTTTTTCTGTCATTAATTGAGGGGTACCTACAGTTTTGTTTACGTATGTATAAATTGTAAAAAAAAAGTTGTGGCCATATGGTTTGATGCCTGACGCAAATTTTTCTTAGAGGGCATCAATAACTCATCCGGACAGTTACAATAAAATCCACACAAACAATTAAAGCTCTGCTAGACTTTGTGACTTTAGGTCAGATTTCAACAAAGCAAAAAGAGTGATCAGGTGGAATATTTCATCAGAGTTTAAATGCTAAAAGTAGTTGACCAAATAGAACCCTTAGAGCATTACATATTTGACCGAAGACATCTAGATGGATCTTAAATCCCTTTTGGAAAACTTGGGGCAACCTGATGAGACAAAGGTGCAATTTTGTTTGGTAGCTGTAAGTCCCGTTTTTTTTTTTTTTTTTTTGCAAAACTGCATGAGGCATGAGTTGAAATCATTAAGGCACCATATCAACCCTTTGGCCCTATGATTGTCATATGGAATGGACTGTATAAATAAAGTAGATCTAATCTGACAGAAAGATAAGGCTTTATAGACACTAAAACATGGTAGTGGGAATATGTTGGTGTGGGGTCTTTCTTGGTGTTCCGTGACCTGGATGACTGGCTTTTACAGATAAACCCGCTTTTGTACCAGAAAATCCTGAAGAAGGGATGGTCTGGACCTTAAAGAATTCTTCTCGCCATTTTTAGTTTTAACTTAAGCCAAATATAAAAGAAAAGGAAGAAATAAATGAAGCAGTGTCTAAAATTATCTAGGACAAAGATGTGGATGTCAGAAATCTTTTACATTTATAATCTTAATTTCACCTCAATGCTGACTTTTTTTCCTCTAACCTTTTCTCTGAGTTGATCGCTCACCTGCTCTCCTGGCTCTACACTACCCCCTGGTGGACATGAGAAGACAGTTCAGCTAATTTCATGTTTGTGTCACATCCTTCTCTCTGTTTCTGTGTAATCCAACATGGTTACTGAAGTGTCAAAATGTTGTTCTAAGACCAGAATTTAGAAAATATTAGAAAAGGGTGAATAGCAGTGGGGTGGTGAGGCCACAGATATTCAACTATTTCAGAAAGGAACATTTTATTTATTTATTTATTTGATTGATTGATAGATATTTTTCTCTCTTACTAAATGATAAACCTGAAAGGTTTTTCAAACTTAAAAAAAAATATCCGTTGCTCCTGATAACCGTTGCATATTTCAATTGATTGCAAATTCAGTGCTCAGAAATGCCACTTACTTGTTGGTTATATATAATAGTCATACTACTACCTCACCGTTGTTCCTTACCTACTACACTTTAATGTAAAAGTTAATCCACCTGTATATAAGCCATCCTGATTGTACATATGTCACCTCAAACCTCTGTGTTACTCCCTTGCATTTTTTTTCTTATTTTTATTTTTCTTTCATTGTGTGTGATACATGTACACTTGCACCTTAATTCTTATTCTTATATTGATATACTGTACAGTATATACAGTGCTTGCTTGTTTATTCTTAATGCACCTTTTCCTCCTTGTTTGCACCTTCTTTAATTACTATCTCAATATGTGATCAGTGAATTTCTCCGCTGTGAGATCAGTAAAGCTCATCTAATCTAATCTAAACACAAAGAATTTTCATCTTAAATGCAAAGTATTTATATTTTGCATTCAAGTTCAGTTTTCATCTTATGATTTTTCTGAGTCGTTTGTTCTTTTAGTAACGTTTTTTTTTCAATAACTGACTAAGGGGGGGACATACTAGGGCATACTGTGGAAATGTAGCAGAACACCAGCAGGTCAACTTCTAACTGGCTCTAAGAATTAAACACATTCACTTCTTTAGTTGGAAAGTTAAAGTTTAGATCGAAATTGTTTGAGAACAGAGTTAGTTTTTTTTTTATCTTTTCTAGTTTAAATTCTCTGATAAACTCTGCTTGATCTGAAACATGTATGTTTCATTGAAAAGCAAAAGGAGATGAGATGTTAAGGCACCGATGGACGTTAGCATGAGCTAAAGCCTGCCCTCTACCTACTCTGTCTTTGTTCTCCTTAGTGGAAGATGGCGGAACAGGATTGGGCTACATGGAGCATGTCCTCGTGATGGAGGAGATGTCACGGGTGTCAGCTGCCATCGCTCTCAGCTATGGTGCCCACTCCAATCTTTGTGTCAACCAGTTAGTGCGTCACGCCAACCCAAAGCAGAAGGAGAAGTACATGCCGAAGGTCAGGGCTGCACTGAGTGGAACTGGAAAATGTTTAAAAGCATAAAGTTGATCTTTAATTTTAAATGTTATTTTTATTTATTTTTTTTTTTTTTGCTTTTCTTTTCCCAGTTACTGACGGGTGAACATGTGGGAGCCCTGGCTATGAGTGAGCCCAATGCTGGTTCTGATGTCGTCTCTATGAAACTCAAAGCTGTCAAGAAAGGTCAGACCCTAAAACTAGATACTGATGTTAAGTACTTATAAATGCAGACCTTTTACAATAATTTTTTTTATAATGTATTGAAAACTCAAATTAATATTTTGCAGGTTGACCTCTTTTAGACAGGAATTGATAAACACTTCATGTTTTAGTTTAATTTTGATCATAGTTCTTTTCTATTTGTTTCTATGGAAGCAACTTTGAACGCTTTAAACGCTCATAGTCGTCTCATTGAGAAGTAATGAAAGCTACAATGTGTGCATAAGTAACCCTGGTTTCTATATCACATCACATTCAGTATTTTAGAATTACTTTTCCGAAGAACTCACTTCTATGTCAGATTTTATCGGAAACAAAGAAGTGCATAATAGAGCAAAACCTAAAAAATAATTTGATTTGCATATTTTATTTAAACACTGAGAACACTTATTGGAAAATAGTCAACCTGTAAGTTGTGGAGAAGTTTAAAGCAGGGTTAGAAAAAACATCCCAAGCTTTGAACATCACAGTTTTACTCAGTTCATGTTTTGATCTATGCAACTTTAAACAGAAAATGTAAGGCATCTGTTTTTTTTTTACTTCCTCACTGATTTTATTAAAAAAAAAAAAAAATCCGCCAGGTGACTATTATGTTCTAAATGGCAACAAGTTCTGGATCACAAATGGGCCAGATGCTGATGTCCTCATCGTGTATGCAAAGACCAACCCTGAGGCGCAGCAGAAGGGGATCACAGCTTTTATTGTGGAAAAGGTAAATCCTGATCTTCTTTCCTCTCCGTCGTACGTTTAGACAGGCGTGAAAGGATGACCTGTTCAGAAAAGAGCTGTTCACTATTTTGCAATGAGATGAATAAAAAATATATATTTCTCTTTTTCTTTCATAAGGGAATGGCAGGATTCTATACAGCTCAGAAACTCGACAAACTGGGAATGAGGGGATCCAACACCTGTGAGCTGATCTTTGAAGACTGTAAAATTCCAGGTATGACATAAAACTTAACTAGATTCACTAGAAATACTGTGAAAGACGAAAACAGCACCCGATACTTTCTAAGAATCATTTAAAAGTTTCATTTAACCATTTTTGAACCTATATTTAGTCCATGTTTATGGTTTTCCCTTTGAATCATCAGTATAAGGCTAAAGCAGTGTTGATGCACTACAGAAAATCTAACAAAGAGCCCGTTACTTGCTGTTTCTTGTCAAAAAAGTAAAATATCATTCTCTTGTTAACTTGAATTTAACTTGTAAAATGTTATAGTTTTTTTTTGTCTTGTTTACCAGCTGATTGTATTTCTGTGAATCTGCTCCTATTTGACAGAGGAGAATATACTGGGTCCACTGAACAAAGGTGTTTATGTGATGATGAGCGGCTTAGATCTGGAGAGGCTGGTGTTGGCTGCTGGACCTGTTGGGTGAGGTTCTTTCATTGCATGGTTCATCAGGAGTTCATCATTTCAACAGACCTCAAGATCCCAGTAGATCCCTTTATTGACCACAATCAAGAAATGTTTAAAAAAACAACGTAAAAGTAAAAAGTATAACATTATTTAGCATAACTTACCAAATGGCGATCAAATGCACAAGGCTGATGTCAATGTAAACAACAATTGCAACCCAAGAATAAAATGGGTAGAACAGACTTTCCAGCTTCAGGTTAAGTTTTATAAAGTGAAATTTTGTATAGATTTTTTTTCCAAATACTTTCCTACAAAAAACATTAAACTTTTGTCATTTTACTGGCTATAAGTTCATATAATAAATTTACTCTGAAAAGAAAAAACAATTAGCATGAAAATAAAGGAGACTGCTGACTTGTCCTTGGTGTACCCCGCCTCTCGCCCATAGACAGGTGGATATAGGCACCTGCTTGAGATAAGCGTGATGGAAAATGGATGGATGAAAATAAAGAACTGTCACTGTTTTAGAAAATAAAATAAAAATAGTTGATTAAAATGAGGTCTATACAAACTTTTTCTTTCTTCTCCAGCATAATGCAGGGTGTTTTGGATGCTGCCATTCCCTACCTACATGTGAGAGAAGCTTTTGGACAGAAGATTGGACACTTTCAGGTCTGACTTTCCCTTTTTTAATAAAGCCCTCAGTAGTTGGGAGCCTGAACATTTCTTCACCAAATAAAACCGATCTTTTTCACAGCTGATGCAGGGCAAGATGGCCGATATGTACACCAGACTGAGCAGCTGTCGGCAGTACCTCTACAATGTTGCCCGCGCTTGTGATAAAGGGCACTTTAGTGCAAAGGTGGGAACTTTTCATGTTTCTTCTCCAATATGTTACTCTAGAAAATATTGATTCAGCTGCTAAGGAATCTTTTCAGCAGTCTTTTTTTTATATATTTTCTTATGTTTGAAATTCTTTGCTACATATTCTGTTATATTTAGGAGCTGGAGCTTCAAGTTTGAGTAAAATAACATAAAGGTTTTCATTTTCTTATTAAATAACTTACATTTCTAGGATGCAGTGATTTTTTTATTATAGTTTATTCTGTATTATTCTATAAGCCAGTATCAGCATGTTGTTCCCTTCCTGGATAAAGGAACTCTTATGGATTTTGTTTTTAACAGGACTGTGCTGGAGTGATCCTGTACTGTGCCGAGAACGCCACTCAGGTGGCTTTGGAAGGAATTCAGTGTTTAGGTGAGAGATGAAATTTAAAAAAGCAGGTTTAAATTAATCAGGGATCATAGACCGGAATTACAGATCAAGTGAAACGACAGTTAAGCAAACTGAAACATAAAAAAAAATTCCTGCAGAAAACATTTTACAGATTTGTTTCTTCAAACTTAGAGATTTGAACTAGAATTACTTTTAAAATGTGTGAGTTAAGTCAATTGTTTTGAGTGTCTGTCGCCAGACAACTCATGACTTACCTTAGAGAGCCCAGCACCTCTCTGTTGTGTTTCAGCCACTTTTTAACCAATTATTCTATTAGTGCCGTCATACATTTAGAAGACCAATTTATAGATTATAGCCATCATCACTTTAAATTCTTTGGATTTTGTTCTGAAAAATCTGGCAGCAGTGTTTGTTGTCTGTGGGACACAACTGATCTCCTTACCAAACAATAAGATGGCAGAACATTAGCATCATTAGCACAGAACAGTAGCATCATGTTGATATTTGCATATTAATGGTTGAGCTGACAAAGGTTGGATCTTTAGTTTTTTTTTTTAGAACATATTCCCAAGTATTATCCAGACCAGGGTGACTGATTTGTCTGGTTTTTATTTCTTCTTTAAGTTTTTGTGTGGCCTGATTTTAAAGAAACCCCCCTAGTTATAAATATGGACTTTGACTAGGCCACTTCGGCTCCTCCTTTCTTGACCCTTTGTGAGGTGAACATGATTTTTCTATTAAAGAGAAGAATTATGGTAACGCCTCCACATCCTAAAGCACAAAAGAGTTCCAAACCATAAAGCTGTTACCACCATGTTTGACTGTGTCTTGTACTTTTTTTGGGTTATTTTTTTCATAAACATTAAATGGGTTTTGGTACTCTTTTTGTTCAGCAGAGGTTTTTCCCTCTCCTCCTCAAATCCTGTTAAATCAGGATCTCTGCCCTTAACTGAGGCTGCTGAGGCCTGCAGTGACTTAGATGTTGCAGGTTTGTGTGTGAGCTCCTAGATGATTCGATAAGGCTCTCTAAGGGAATTTTAGCAGACCAAACACTTCTTAGGCTCTACACTGTTCCATATTTCTCTTATGTGTGATCGATGGAACTCATCGTGGCTTATTGAGGTTCAACAAGTCTTAGAAATAGATGTAACCCCTTATAAACTTTTAGATAACTATTTTTCTCTTCAATTTTGTTTAGCTTGGATGGTGATGTGATGCTTGTATTTATAATTTGGCCTACCTCGTGTTCTATGTGACAGATTGGTTTGAATCTACAGGTCTGGCATCAGTCGGGTGAAGATTTCAGATTGAATTTGACTCTTCCAAAAATTAAGCTAATTTTGAAGAAGAAATCTATGTGGAAGCTAATCACTTTTTATGGCGTTCTCTGCTGTAAAACGACTGTACGCTGAGTTTTTTCCCCTCAGGTGGGAATGGCTACATCAACGACTATCCAATGGGAAGATTCCTGCGAGATGCTAAGCTGTACGAAATCGGGGCGGGCACGAGCGAAGTCCGCAGGATCATCATCGGCCGAGCCTTCAACTCCATGTTCAAATAGACACTTTGAAGAGGAGTTTGTTGTTTGTATCGTCCCTCACACCCAGGACCTTACTGAAGGAGTTCAGATGATTCACCGCCATGCTGTCCATGTATGAGATGCACTGATATCAACCAATCAGAGAAGGATGTTTAGCGCTGCAAAGTGAACAAATTATATACTGATCTAAGCCAAGTGACCTTTGTCTTTGTTTAGTTATGGTAGGTTTGAGTTTACTTTGAGGTACATAGTAATCAGTTGTGATGGTTATGGCTGAAACACTCCTGCAGAGCCCTGAACCGGCCGCTGCTTCCAACAAACAAATGATAATAACTACATCCTTAAAGTGTAGGAAGTTTTCCTCTGTGATGTTTTCAGTGCAAACATAACTGATTCATTCTATACAGATCAACTCTGTTCTATTAATGCTTGGATCTTTTGTGAAGACTTTGTTCATACTTATCATTATGTAGATGTACAGTGTAGAAATGAATGAACTGTATCAGGTTTGCAATAAATGACAATAAAGCTTTTTTAATGTTTGGTTTGTCATGTCTGTCATGTTGTCTGTGGGGCTCAGCCATTAAAGCTGCAGTGGTTTACAGTCAACTCGTCTTCTGAAAACCTCCAGCCTCCGACCGTCATTACAGACCGTTTAGACAGCATACAGCACACCGTAGTATTGAAGGATCCTAAAATATTTTATTGGAGCAGTTTCATCTCCAGAGGTTTTGGGAAAAAAAATAACTAAATTCAAACTTCACCCTCTTCCAATAATTTTGTTTTCAATCCTACCCCTAAGTTATAAGGACAATACTTCACTTCAAAATTTCACACGCTTTGAGTAGACAGAGGCTCTTTGAACATTTCTCTTTGAGGCCTCCAGGTCTTCCAGAGTTCAACATCTTCTGATGCTTTTCCCTTCAGCTCAGCCTGGTTGATTCTGTGTTTATTTAACCATGTTTTTGTGTTGGAAACTCAAAAAGCGTTTGAATCCGGTCCTCTTTCAAATATTCATTGTTTATTTTATACCAAACCAGCTTTGAGTGTTGCTGAAAATATTGATCTTAGTCTCTGACTGTTTAGAGTTCCAGTGCCTCTGCCCTTTATGCTCATTCTTAATTCACCAAAGAGCATTTTTTTTCACATTCCTCTTCCAGCGGCTGTTAAACTTTAAAACTATCTCTGCTCTCAGCAAACGCAGGTGTTTGTTTCTCTGCTGTCTTTGCATTATTGTAAAAAGTCTGGTGTTTTTGCATAAATAACATATTTTGCATCCTACCTTGTTCCAAATGTCAAATTATTTGAGATTAGTACTTCTATTAACCTTTAACCATACAGTTATATTTATGTTGTGAATTTTCCCTTACTGTGCTGTTCCTTTCTTCATTGTACTTTGCATCATTAATTCAACTTTTCTTAAAACATATACAGGCATCCTAATTATAATAACCTGTCAACCTCCTCCCCCATTAGTCAGATTGAAAGTTGTGGCATGTGTAAAAACCACCTCCAGGTGTACAAAATTTAAGAATAGAATAGAAAATCCCTTTATTTTCCCTCAAAAGAAATTGTGGTGTTAAAGCAAAACAAAAGTATTACTGCAAAAGTGATCACAGGAATGTGGACCATAAAAAGTGTATAGAAATAAAAAAAATAATAGCGTACTGCACAGTATTTTAATATATAAATACTGTGCATCTGGAGAATATATAATCAATATACAGCTGTGGACATTTTTACAGTAATGGATTTGTAAAAATAACAGCAACACCAGAGATGAGAAGACAAAATGAGATCAGAGAAAAGATGACAAAAATGACAGCATGTTGTTTAACTAAGAAAGAAACTATGCAAAACTCAGCATGAATGTAACAACTTATTGAGGTTGTTGGGAAAAGTGGTGGTTATAGACAAGGATCTGTGATAACGCTCCCTGGTGCATTTCGGGTGCAGCAGTCTGTCATTGAAGGTCTCTGAGACATTATCCAACATTGGTGTTCTTTTAGGGTCCTTTTGTTTCCCTCCTCCTGCACTGAGTCCAGAGGGCATCCAATCACAGAGCTGGCCTTCCTGGTTAGCTTATCCAGCCGCATTCTCTCAGCTACAGATAAGCCACTGCTCCAACAGACAGCTCCATAGAAGATGGCTGATGCCACAACAGAGTCAAAGAAGGTCATTCAGAGTGCCCTCAGCACTCCAAACTTAGTTGTCTGTAAGTAGCTTTATGGGTTGGGACACTTGCAACAGTTGTAAACGTTCCCAACCTGTCAGCTATGACAGAACTCCATTTGCTGGACACAAAGATTTTACCACATGCTAACAACTTGCTATAATAACGCACAATGTGACTTGTAAGTTGTAATAATTAATTCATACTAATTGGAGAAGAGGGAAAAATATACAACATGAAAAAAAAAATACTTTAACACCTATATTTGATATTTGCAATATAATTGTCATCACTACAGGATGTTTCTGACTGGGGGGAAAAAGACCTTCCCCAGTCTCCTCTACAAACACATGGATCCATGAAGTTCAATGGATTGTTGATCTGAACCAGAGTGCAGACAGATGCAACATGTTGAGATGACATTTGATAAATGATAAACAGAACTCTGGCATGGAGACAAAAGTGAATAGTAACTGCAGGGTGATTGCTTAGAGCTGAGCAGAGGGGCAGACAAAGTAGAAACACTAAAACATACACAAGAGACATAACCTGGAAAAAAATGTCAAAAGGTAAATATACCATAAAATATGGCAAGCTCTAAACAGAAGAAGTAACATCAGTAGAGTTATTGCTGTTTTTTTTTAATGTAAGTTGAAACCTAAATTTCATAATTTAATAATTAGTATTTTTGAGGTTCTAGAATACTTTATGCCAGTAATCTTTGATAATAAAACCACTCAAAGAATCCAAGGCATGTTTTTTTTTTTTTTTTCTCATTTAAAATCTTTCTTATCTTAGTTTGTGAAAAGATATGCTGCAGCACTTTTTTGTCTGAATGGGTTTCAGGTTATGGAAAGTTTAACTTCCCCGATTATGTTTAAACTCTACCACAGAATGAAAGAGTTCAGATTGAAGGAAAGGCGTACTGTGAGCACAAGAGCTTTTTTGTGTTGGAGTCAAAAAAACAATATGAACGTTTTCCTGATGCCTCAGTAAGTGGTGAACACTCAACCTCTTGTTTGCAGAAACGAAAGGAGACAACAGCTCAGACAATGATGGACCCGAACCAGCCCAGTGCATTTAAATAATACATGGCAGCTCAGTTTCAGGCTGGAGTTTCCCCTTTTAAAGCAAACAAATTACGCTCAGACATCAACACTGATCAAATACCGAAATGATGTGAGGATTTTCTCTTAGGTGGAAACGCCTTTTTTAGTGGAGAAAAAAGAATAATAAACACCTGTGTTTCTATGCAGCTTATATGGATTCTGTATTCAAACCTGACCCACCTGTAAGCGGTAACAATGGGGAAACACAGCATGGCTGTGATAATAGACCCTTTGCTTTTCATGAACTCTCTGTTTCAGTGCAGGATGGACACCGACCTGTAGTTTAAACGCATTTCAGTCAAGGCTCAGTGATGACACAGTGAGGGTAAAAACATCTCTAAAGCTAACTGTTGGACAGCTGAAGCAAAAGGGGGGAGGTTGTTAAGTCACCATGACAACCACTGGATGGTATTTACACACCATCTGCTTGTTCGGGGGCCATGTCTATGCTACCAAGACAAAAGTAAATAGGTGTTTTCCAGCTTCTACTGTGGTTTTACCTGAAGTCAGGTGCTTTGGTTGGACAAAATTAACATTTAGAAGGTCTGACATACATCAAAGGAGGAATATGAACAAGACTGTAGGAACCTTTTTACTGTCCATGGCATCATTAACCAGGATATTTCTGATCCATAAAACCGAACAGTTGGTCAATATATATATATATATATATATATATATATATATATATATATATATATATATATATATATATAGAAAGAGAGAGAATATATGTAGCTTGTATATATTTGCTGTTTAATTCCTTAGCTTTTTATTTGTTATTTTCAGAGATGGGAAGTAACAAAGTACAAATACTTCGTTACTATACTCAAGTAGATTTTTCTGATATTTTTACTTTACTTTACTACTTATTTTTATGGCGACTTTTTACTTCTACTCCTTACATTTAAAAAAATTGGTTCGTTACTTTAGTTTTGAATCATTTCAATGGAGTTACCGTTATTATTTTTCACGTCATCAATACCAAATTCAATCTAATTGGATGGGAATCTACGTTGCATTTGACGCACCACTACAAGATGAATCGACAGATTCGGCGGTATTCATTGGCGGCAAATCATTGCAGCTTGGTGGCGGTGGCGTTAGCATAGTAGCATGGACGACGAGATGATTGAAAATTAACACAACGGAGATCTAGTCCTATTGGCAGACATCCATTTAAAATGTAGGCAACGGCATGAAAAAAATGGTTTCTACTTTTACTTTTATACTTTAAGTTCATTTACAAGCCTGTACTTTGTTACTTTTACTTGAGTAAAGAAGTTTAATCAGTACTTCCACTTACCAGAGTATTTTTTAACACAAGTATCTGTACTTTTACTCAAGTATGGAAAGTGAGTACTTTTGCCATCTCTGGTTATTTTCTCCTTTGCTTTAAATGTTGGACATTTTAGGAAAAACTGTCGCTGACTAAACACACATAAAGTGTGTTGCTTCCTGATTCCACACTTCCAGCTTAGCGGTTAAACATCTACAGATCACAATGTTTTCAGGTTTGGAATTGGAGAGGGTTTCACAAACAGGGGAGACGGCCGTCAGCCACTTCGCTGAAAATTCAGTCCTATGCTACACCTGTCCACTCTATGGAGAGATATTTGTGCCATCGGTTTGAGCGCGCAGGAACCAATCCGAGCGCGCAGTGAGACAACACGCGCACGCGCAAAGCCGGTCTGGCGCGCGCTCAACTCTGTAAAACCCTCTCAACACACTGTTCTCGCGCTCAGTTTCATCTCTGCGCGTGCTCGAATCCGTCTCTGCTCGCGCTCGACCTGCTCTCTCTCCGCGCTCAACACCAGCTGTGCGCTCGGCTGTTTCTCCGCTCGCTCGACTCTCTGCACTCGCAACTTCAGCAATGTATGTAAATGAACCATACCATCAGCCAATCACACCCAGCTTCTTTTCATCCAATGAAAGCATTCCTTCCTTCTTCTTCTTCTTTTTTATCATGGCGGATCGCAAGCAACTTTAAGGTGCATACCGCCACCTACTGTTCATGATTGTGTAGCAACATTGTTTTACATCTATTAAATTCTATTTTTTAATTTTGTATTCTGAAGATAACTAATTAATGCTTTCCTTAATCTATAAATATCCTTTATATTTCCTTTATTTCCCAATAATCCTTTAAGACTCCATTCTTGGCCTGTCCTTTCAACTACTCTTCTCAATTTTTCCCTTTCAGGTTCATATGTTTTACAGTTCATTAATACGTAAGCATTCGTTCCAAATACTACACCGGGT